GTCAAGCTAAATTAATGATGAGGAAGTCAGAAAATATAAATGAAATAATTAACATGTATTTATTTGTCTCTTGGTTTCTCTCATTTAGATTTGATTCTTCACTGGGTATTATGCATAGCAGGCTCTTTTCTAATTTTCCTTTTAGGATTAATTTAAGGCATAATTTTTCCTATTTTGAAAATCACTGTTATTTAATTCAGATTTTTATCTATTTAATTATTACTATTATTATTATTGCAGTTCTAGGGATTGAACCCAGGACCTCATGCATGCTAGCCAAGTGCTCTACCACTGAGCTACACCCAAGCCCTTTTTTAATGTCTATATTAGAGGTCTTGCCAATTGTCTACGATTGCTTCTATTACCTGTGGTTCTCCTGCATCAGCCTCTCAAGTCATTGGGATTACAGGTGTTTACTTCTGAGCATTGCTTTACTTTAGGTAAAGTAATTAAAGTTTAAAACTTTGACTCACTGAGACATAGTAAAAGAAAAAAGAAAATCCTTGCATTTAAACAGACTTCTGTTTGATAGCAATATTGCTGCTTTGGGTTAGCAGTCCTTATGTGGGTTGATTAACTTGTTTGAGTCTTAATTTCTCATTTTTTAAAATATGGATATTGATACAAGAGCTGCTGTGAAGGTAAAATGGCAAAATGTTTGTGTAAAATGCCTGATATACATAGTACCAATAATGGTTCCTGTTAAATGAGGCTTACCATGAGTCACACACAATGCTAAGTGCATTATATATTTACAGTTAATTCTTATAGCATTCCTTTGCTATAAGTACTGCTTTATTGTGAAGAAGAAAAGATATGAAGGGCTTTATTCTATTATGGTAATGGGTTATTTCCACCCCATTTTATAGAAGTGCAAGTAAAGGTTAGAATTGTAAAATAATTTGCCTGAAACAGCACTAATTTTAAATTACAAGAGCTGAATTCTAACTAGAGTCTATGTGTTTGGTTATCCACAATTGTGTAACAAGCCTTCCAAAAATGTAGTGGCTTAAAAAAACATTTTATTTTTTGTTATGATATTATGGATTGACTGGACTGAGCTGGGTAACTTCTTTGCTCCAAAAGGAGGCCATAGCTGCAGTCATCTTGTGTCAGTGGTGATAGGGATTAGGGGTGTGGTTGAAATATCTGAGATGCTTCGGTCACAAGGCTGTCATTCAGTGCTTCTGCAGGGAGTTCCCAATGTGGCTGCGGACTGGAGTATCTCACTATTCCTCTGCTTTGCAGTGCTGCTTATTAGGAAGGAGTGTTGCAATAATATGTAAAGTGCCTCCACTTGTTTCACACTACCTAATGTCTCATTGGCCAAATTAGACATATGGAAAAGCTCAGAGTGTGGGAAAGAGTTACACAGAGCATAATATTAAATGACCTCATTAAGCCCACTAACAGTCCACTACAACTCCTGCTGTCAAAATCTCTTTTTTGCCTTCCAAACTTCATGGCTGTATGTAATCTGCTGCCCTTGGGCAGCATGTTGCTCGACATCTTATGAGAAATTTTAGTAAGAGGGCCAGTTACACGATTTTAATAAGCTTTTATGCTTTTCTCCTTCCAAGTCTGAAATAAAATTTCAACTTTATTTAAATTGTTTAAAAAGAAATTTCTATTCTGTAAAAGAATATACCCCTTTCAAAGATTGAAATTATTTTCAAGAAATTTTTAATGCCAGTCTGTGTTGGATTTTATATGTGTAATTCATTAGTGAATAAAATCAGAAGAAATATTATTGCATTTTTTGAACTATCATTCAGATAAAAGTGAATATATATCAATATGTTTCTTTGAGTATCTGACTAATTTTGGATATTTTAGAAATTGCCTTTTGAAGGAATGGCCTTGGTCCCATTATTTCTGTAAAAGCAGTATTTTTTACTTCAGAGTCTATAATCCTTTTCTTCACTTTATATCAATTTTAACAATTTATTTCTATTGCTATTTATGTAGATGGTCTCCATAGTAAACTTTTTGTTGAAATGTTTTGTTCTAGATAAAACATTCTCTATTGATGAATAAAATTTATTTCTAAACAGTAGTATTTTACCTTAATGATTCAAAACTTTCTTCCATTAATTTTGAGTGAAAAAAACATACATATAATGCTTCATTATAATGTATGTTCTACATTCATTACTTCAGGTTAAATTAGCAATGGCTTACAGGTAATACCATTTTGAAGCTATTTGGCGACCAATGAAAAACTCTGATAATGTCACGGCTTAGTATCAAGACTTTGAGGGGTAATATCAGATGATATCTGAACTGTTATTCTCTTAATGACTGTGCTATTGTTATCAAATTTTAAAAATCTCAGACTGACATAGAAAAGAAATAATGAAGAAAATCAGAAACTTACTTTTTGTGACAACACCTTCTAGGCGAATGATATTTGGGTGGTCAAACTGACCCATGATGCTGGCTTCTCTCAGAAAATCTCTCCTTTGCCGATCCATATGGCCACCTTTCAAAGTTTTAATAGCAACTGGGATCTCTCTTTTCCCTGGTGTCTTCAAACGCCCACTACAGACTTCTCCAAATTCACCTTAAAATATGAACAAGAGGAGTTATTTGTCTAAACAGAATGTTTATATTTCAGAAAAAGCAAATTGTCATACAATGCTATACATTTGTTAAAAGGCAGAGATGTTCAAGTGTACTATTTTCACATAAAATTTACATTCTTAAAAATTAAGTTTGTATAGATAATATGCTTGATTGACAGCATATACATTTACATTGCATTTACACCATTACATAAAATGGAATACATTTTCATATGCTGTGTACCACAGGAAATCCCTGATCTTTTGAGAAATGATGACTAGCAGAATGGGTGATGGTAATGTAATTCTTATAGAAAAGCAATCACAATATAACATTTCCTGTTCTGGTCCTCAGTTCTGATATATGAGCCACATGCCTGCCCTATTCAGGGAATCCATCAGGCATGTGTGGTTGATTTCATTCCCCAGGCCACAGGCTTGGACTTCACTGACCATTAGAAATCAATGCTAGGGTCAACTAATGTATGAACATATTGGAAAAAACACACTGAACTCAACTACAATTAGTAATTATATAGGTTCAATTACAAGCCACATGCGTGGAAATACAAATACAGCAAGATGAGTTATGTTTCAATACTCACTCCACCGGGTAGATTAAATAATAACCAAATATTTTATTTATCAAGCATTTACTACATATATATCCAATACTAGGTTCCTGTAAATGAGTTTCAAAGGAATATGAAACTTGATCTCTGCTTTCTCCTGAGCTCACAGTCTAGTAGCAGAATTTGAATGTACATAAATGATGCACAGATCTCAAACCAATCTGTGTAAAGGTTGTATTCATTAAGAACAGCAGGGGCTGGCCGACTTCCTGGAGAAGGTGGGAGGGACATTCAAGATGGGTGCACAGAGGGAATACAAAAAAGAAAAAGAATTAAAAGTCGGAAACAGTAAAGAGAATGATGTGGACTCTGGGCGTTAAGGAGACTTGAGTTGTTATTTTGGGAAAGAAGTGCAATGCAATCTCAGTGTAATGCAATCCATTCAACAAAGCCTAAAATTCTAGACTGTTAATTATTCTAGGGATAATCACCTGCATTTACTTAGAAGCATGATGCTTGATCCCTAATTTACTTACTTATAAAATGAGGACATTATAGAATTACAGAGAGTTTTATTGGAAAGACAATAAATAAATGAGAATATATGTGACAGTGCTTAAAAACTGTAAAGTGCTAATCACAAAATAATTTGTTTAAATATTTGCAAGGGTGAAAGGAATAAAAATTTAAATATCTTCAGTTGATCTATTAGTTACCAGTTCTAGTCTTTGTTGGATATAATATAAGTTTGATTGTAGAAGACTGAATTAAAATTTTGCACTCATAACTTTCAATTATCCATATTTTCTTTGGACCAATTTATCACAGTCAACTAACTGCTGAATATACATGAAAATTAACTATATTTTGATATAGACACTAAATTATTGTTTTTTTAAAAAAAAAACTATAAAGTAAATAGGACTAAACATTTCTTCTTTAAAGTTTTGCACACGTATTATCCATTAGCAATGGAAAATAGTCTAACAATATAGTTTGTTCTCATACATGTTTTAGAAAAAAATACGCCAAAAACACTAAACTATTTTCACTATAAAATTTACTACCTAAGATATTGGGGTATTATAAATATTGCATAAATTTTGCATCAGAGCCTAGAATAGTAATTTTTAACTTAGTGATGGTCTCAACCTGTTGGAGGATGGATATTTGTATTTCCCAGAAAATGAAGCTGTAATTTTTCAGTTCTGTTAGCAATATGTTTTTGATTTTTTATTTGCTCTACTTAGTTATGTTTTTGATATTTAAAAGATGTTTTCTTATACAAAATCTGACAACTGTTAGAAAATTTCAAAGTTTTTCTATTTCAAGTCTCTGGACCCTGAGAGAAAAGGTGTTGTATATGTTAATATTTAAGCATAGTAAGATACTTGAGTTTCATCCTCAGATCATTGTTCTTTTCCAATGAATATGTGGAACAATACAATTTTTTTATTTTCTCTTTTTCTTTTACTTTGCCTTTAAAAATCTGTTCATATTTATAAAAATTCAGTAATATTTTACAACCTATCACCTGGTATGAGACCATAATCACTGTTATTTTCCTATTCACATTTCATAGGAATTCAAGTGAATTTTTGAATATAATGAAATAAATGAGAACTCTGTTGGTATTTTATCAAGACAGACATAGTGGAAATTTTCTTTGGTTTTCTGTTGTCTAAAATCCATGTATCTTATTAACACCAAGCAGGTGTTTTCTTCATGTCAAGCTTTGCATGATCAAGCTGTTATCACACTTATTTCATTGGCACTAAATATGGGTTGTCTCAATTAAAGATCTGAGACTCCCAGTGCATTCTTTAGGAAAAGTCCAAATGGCTCAGCCACAGAATGTATTAAAATTCTTATCCACATTATGCTGGGATATATAAGATATATGAGAAATACAAGAAAAAATACTTAAAGTTAAATGTATAATTTTGGATATTGTCCCAAATGGATTAATTATATGACTGCCCTTGTAGCAAGAATAGAAGCCCTGTATATAACTTAACCCTAAGAAAGAGAAATTATTACTCAATAATATCTGAAAACATCTACAAATATTGGTTAATTCATAATTAACTTCCTGACCATAAGGATATGGTGTTAATTATTATTATTAATATTTTCTTTCCCAATTTATAGTTGCAATCATTATTAGATTATTCAGTGCTTATCATGTGCCAAGTCAAAGAATTCAATACATAACTCTCCACGACAGACAAACTTTTGATGATACTTGTATTATTCTATTTGTAGATGAGGAAACTGAAGCACATGAGCTAAGTAACTTGTCCGTAATGAAATAGCTAGGAAGTGGTAGAGTTCTCTTTTGTACCAGTTAGTCTGGCTTTAGAATCCATCCTTATATAGCCTCTGTTCTGTGCTGTAGGCTATTTATTGCTACTATTCTCTTGTATTAGCATGTTAATTTCCCATTGGTAAAAAGATGTCTTTGAACCATTTTATAATGTTCAAACACATCAAGTGGATATGGCCAGGTGGATGGGATGACAAAGAGGTATCCTATGAATCCTCTACTCTTGAATGAAAAATGGAGACCTATCTGAAATATGCTGTATGTTAGACAGTTTGGAAAAAATCACTACACTCAATCCAGTTTCAAGAGAGCAAAGAAAATTATATCTAAGATAATTGATCTTCTGCCACTGACAAGAGCATTCACTAACTAACAACCCCATCTATCTCCCTGGATAGTGGTAAAACCTTTCTGGACAAGTAATTTTGTTGCATAATATACAGGGTCATGTTAAAATATCAATTAGTATTGGATTTTCAAAAACACTCCCATACAACTGAACTAGAATTGTGAGGGGAGTGTGAGCTGGTGAATGACAACCCACTTAGAGGCCTGTCATATCCCAATCACTTGGAGGTTTTTCAAAAATTTACTCCCTGTCTTCTGAGATGCTGGCTCCCCCTCACCTCCAATCTCTTAAGAACCAAAGAAGCAAATAACCATGTTCCTGAGGCTTTTTTTACTTTTTAATTCATTTTTTTTATCAAGTCTCTTAGGCAAGACTAAATATTTATTTCCTCATACTTGCTGTTGGCCTGACAGGACAGCTCTCTACTAGGATTCATCTCCTTTTCTTCTCTATTACACCTCTCTAACCCTTTTCTGTGTGGATAGTTCCTTGTTAGCAGTAAATGGCTGAGCTCTGACTGCTCTTATTCATAAAACTTTCCCTGACCACCCACTTTTCACTGAACCTAGCCTCTTACCAATTGGTCCTTCTAAATGGAAAAATAAAAAATAAAAAAAAAGAGAGAGAGACCCTCTAACATTCACAGGCCAGTCTGGCTCTGAGAGTGAGACTATTTTACTCTCTCAAAAACAATAACAACTTCAGACAAGGCTACTTTGAGACAACAACAAAATGACAGCAGGACCTCTTCATAATTTTGTCTAAGCCCAGACAGAGGCAAGTGCACTGTTCCACTCAAAATACCAAATATTCATGTATTTGGCTAAAATTAGTGTTACTTATAAGAGAAAAACACCCCACAATTATAGCTTTTTCTAATTCTAGCCCCCCCCCCAATAGTATGATTAATTAAAGTCTTTAAATATAGGACCAATATTATGTGCTGCTTCAATAGCTAGAGGAACCTGGGAGGAAATCAAATATCCTGCTGCAAGTTCTCTTGCCCACTCTACTGCTACAGATAAGGTCCCGGAGCCAAACAACCCTTCATATCAAACAGACCAGGTTCCTCCTCACCCATAAGTAGTAGGTTTCAGTTGCATGCCCACCTGTGGAATGATTCACTTGAGACAATCACATACTCCCTAGTGAACTGGAGTAACCCTCCCTCTTGACACTATGAAGCCTGCATGCCACAATCCTAGTTGTTCACTCCAACTTCCATGTGGCCCTGCATGGTGTGTAGTGTCTTCCTCCTCTGGACTGTGTGTATATATGATTAATAAATATTGTGCCATCTCATCTGTCCAATGTAAAGTAGTGTGTGTGGTCATCTCCAGCAAGGAAATCCCTCCCTCATCCATAGGGTGAATGGAAGGCAATTATAACAGATATCTAAGGGGCAATTAAAGTAAGATGGTTCTTGAAATGACCCTGTAGATTGGTTCCAATTTTTTTTCAACCACCCATACAAGAATTCTCTCTGTGGACATAGATCTCTTGCGGCATTCAGCTAGGAGGTGTAAAATTCCACTAGAGCCTAAGATCTAGGAAAATTATTTAGAGAGGACAGGTCCAAACATAGGTGTCAGATTCACTGATTGTTAAGTCTAGCTTTGAACCCCAAAATGACCATTCCCAAAATAATTGGGATACAGACCCATTTGGCCTTGAGCTTGCAAACAAAACCAGTATCCAAAACCTCTAGGAGGAAACCAGAACAAAGCACCTTGCAGACAAGTCTGCCTGCAT